TTTCATTTAGATTATTTTTTTTGGTTCAGTCACTTTTGTTATTAGATATCCAACACTGTGTTAATAGAAGATCTGCCTGTAAATTCCCCAGAAACCTTTATTAGTGTGCATGTGTAATCGCCCCAACGTAACATTTTTATCCCAAAGGACGAAACGCGTTACATGAATACTTTTTTCTCACCACTCTTAATTTTATTTTCTGGATACCCATTTTGAATAGACGCCGAGAACTTTTCAGCACACACACACACACATATATATATATATATATATATATATATATATATAGTGAACTCTCCATTCGACGCATGAGGGTCAGCACCTCACTTCCTAGGAACCGACAGCCAGACACCAGCACATATAATTTGATTATGGTGGTGAAGGCTTTGGGTACAACTAACCACACATTTTGAAGGGCTGAATACAGAGACCTGGTGCGCTATGTGTCACAAGGTCCCCAAACGACACTCCGCAAGTTTTGAATTCAGAGTTGTCAATTACCCATAGCTAGAAGGAGAAGAAGGGTATTATTACCTTTTCCAAGTGTATTGGCACGTAAGTGAATGTAACTGATTTGACTGGATTCAATATATCTGTGTGTGAGCGTGCGTGCATGTGTTTTACGAATTTAAATTGGATGACTTCCTTGCAGAATGAGATATTTGCGTATCTGGTCTGCTCAGAAAAAAGTTGAAATTTCAAATGCACATGTTTATGTCTCTAATCTTTTGACGGATTAGTGCAACACAATCTTCCTAATCCGAATTTCTCTTCTATTTTGCTTTATCTTCGGCTAAAATAATCTTTGTCAATATCCAATTCAGACCGAAATTTTCGTCAGGGTATTTCACTACAACCTGACAAGACTTACTCTGTTTTTTCGTCCTTATTATACGGGGTGCCCAACTCAAAAATGATATCATTTTGTAGTGGAATAACTTAGCCAATTCTAGCTTTAAATGATCTCAAAACTAAGTTTACTGTGCCGACTTATCTCAGTGGTGAACTACCAGGAAGATTGGATCGGACGTGCCACTGATATATGTGCCATATTGTGCTGTTGAAATAGCCATACGTTCACCTGACTTGTGATTTTTTTCTGGGGCTATGTGAAAGGACAGGTCTATATTCCATCTCTTCCTACAAGCCTAGAAAAACGTTAGCAGAGAATCACTGAGGAACTGGAGAACGATACGCAAGACATGCTACAGCGTATTTGGCAGAAGCTTGACTACCGACTTCACAAGTGGTACGTATATTGGATAATTGTAAAGCTTTGTGAAGTCGGATATAAAGTATTAGGTTGGTGCAAAAATAATGACGTAATAATGTCGTTTTTTGACGTATTTTTTAACGTCAAAAAACGACATTATTACGTCATTATGTTTGCACCAACCTAATATACATCTCTTTTAATATTTTATTCGAATTTTGATAAACAAATCTTTTATTGTCCATCATGAATGCTATCTATTTTCGTTTGCCTGGGACATGTAGTTTACTTACATACTGACATTTTAAATTATGTCTCTTTTTGGGGGCACACAGTATAATATTCGTTAAAAAACAATTGTAGCACAAAGAGTGTCACTGAAGATTGAATCCGACTGCTTAACGTTTTTTTTATACAATTTTGTATTAGATTTTAATTAAATCTATCATTAAACGAATATCGGATACTAAACCTGAATTTTAATCACAGCAAACTGTTTATTCTTAACAATTGCAATTAAATACCAACTGTTTTAAGTAGCTTTATACGTCCGGGTGGGGAAAAATGCTCGATCAGACATACTCAGACTTTTCTATTGCAGGGAAGGTCTTCTCGTTTCAGTGTTCCCTTCGTATTAAGCTTTTATGCGTCATAAAATATTATTACTCTGTGTACAAAATTATCCAAAAAACAAAAGCGCTTTCAGCTGTCTATTTAATCTAGTCATGGTCAAACTGCGGCCCGCGAGCCACATGAGGCCCGTTTGATCATTCTGAATGGCACGCCTAATTTTATAAGTAAAATAGCGTTTCTCTAAATGTTATTTTCTTTCCTTCTCACTTGTTCACTCACACCTTCTCTCATACATAATCATATACATAAACAATGATTAAGTACATTTTTTTTAATTTTGTAAACATTCGTGGAAAGTAACGTTGTCAGTATTTTAAATTACAGGCGATTTTCAGTAAGGAAGATCATACGTGTAAACATCATTTGGTTTTGAAACAGGAAACGTTAATAAGAATTTTTTTCTCTAAAGAATTTTTTTTTTTTCAAATGAATAAATCAGAAATAAATGTGATAATCCTATCATCATATTATACCAAGTGTTCAATTTTTGACTATCATCATATTATACCAAGAGTTCACCGTTTGAATTATAATTTTTTTTTTCAAAATAAAAAACTTTGCTGCTATTTCTAAATTATATGCTTACGCATATCGTCTTCTGGAGCGAAAGTAATTGAGATCATATACTACGAAAAATTAGCGTGAATCTTTTTAGTAGTGAGACCCGCTTTGTGATGAGCTATAGACCATGCGGCCCACTGCTCAGGTTAAAGATGTAAAATGGCGACAATTTACCCTTTACTTAGGAATCGTTCTACGTTACATACCTGCGATCTAAGTTTAAACCTCTTGCCTGGCGTAGGCAAGTAGTTAAGCTAGTACGTATTGATATACAGAATGTTAGAAAGGGTTCCATGCTTTTGCAGATCAACACCCGTTTCTGAGTTGTTTTTTTTGGGGGGGAAGGGTGCGTGGGTTTCGTTTTTTTTTTTTTGTTTTTTTTTTACTTCTGCCTTTTTTTTTTTTCAAAACTAATACACGAAACATTGGAAATTTATGTTCTCGTATCTTGATGCAGATGGATATGAACATGTGTTACCTGTTATTTCTATAGCAAAAGTTCTGATGAGCTACATTCGTTAGTTCCACCAGTTCAGACCTTCACGGCTATGACCCACCATGTCAGGTACACTGAAACGAATCATCCCCAAATCTCTTCGTATCCCATTAGCAATAAGGAAGCTCCATTCGGACAGTATCTCCCCAAGATCCGCTACTTTGTTTAATAAACACCTGAGAAGGTGCTTCTCTGATCAATACAATCTTAACATCTTATATTTGCTTCATATCCTCAGAATCTTCACTTCTTACCTCCTCCTCTTGAATTCATACAATCAGATTCAGTAACCCTTTAACTTGAGTGATGATTCAGCCTTGTATTGCTTTAGCAATTTGTAAAAACAAAGGTGTAAACGATACAAAAATGTGATTAAAAAACAAGGTACAAATTGTAATGCCTTTGCGAAAACAGCTTGTCACGTCAACAGTCACGGAAGAATAGTTTTTTTTATTTATGACATACTGTGAAAATTGAAAGTGAAGAGAAAGTGTGCTTAATGATGTACATTTATATAAATAAATGCAAATGTCATTGTGTCAGTGTGTCACACTTTTTCGACTTTACGCTGTGAGGCCGTAGTCCAACATATCATACCATTTTGGAATCAGGCTGACTCCATGAGTAAATTAAACACATTCCGGACCGGATCCGGGCTCCCAATCTTGAAATTTTGGATTCCTCAGTTTTCATTACTGCCATTGTTTTTGGCGATTTTTTTTACGCGATTGTTTGCGACAAATTTTTTTGTATGATAACAATTTTTATAACTTGGAAACAAATTTGGGAATAACCGAAATTAATTGCGAAAGTCACCCATGAAATAAAAAATAATTGTTTGCACGGAAAGTAAAGACCTACGTACATCAAATTGTCTTTAAATTAAGTGGCGGCAGAAGAATTATTGTTTAACCTTTAGAAGGCAAGCTTAAATATTAATGCAATACTTAAATGCAGCTATAAATTTTGAACTTTTCTGTAATTTATTGTTGTCTGTTGCATACAGGCAGCAGTATGCCTCCCAAAAAGAAATCTCCGCCAACATAGGACCAGATTTCAAACAAAAGATCAAGGCGACAGCGAGGAAAAGAAAGTCCCGGGCAAATGAAGACCCAAATCAAACGGCAGCCAGGAGATCTCCTAATGCTAAGAATATGCAAAGACCTTGGGATTCTCAAACTCCTGAACAAGCCGAAGGCCCAGTCAAGTGTCCTCCGCAGCAGCTAGGTTAAATAGGGAGGTTTTTATGCTAGTGTCTCAAAAGGTCTAATTTGGTTTTGTCAAAATTGAGTGATTTCAATCCTGTCCAAATATAATCTTCAAAAACTACGCATTTTTTCTGTCAACAATATCTATACATATACATTATAGCTTTCATTTTTGTTCTTTTTAGTGACGATAACCAAACTATTTTTTCTAGCCTGCAGTTCATAGCTAAATTCACTAAGTAATGTATTGTAGCTAAATTCACTAAATAATGTATTTGAAAATACATTACTTAGATTTGTGAAATAAAACGAAATGTCACTTAAAACAAAGAAAGTTTAGTTCCCAATTAAAGATTACATGAACCTAAATACTCCAGAATGAATAATTTTTAAACATATTGCATTAAATATCGTATGATTCCACATTTAAATTCTTTTGAAATCGAGGCATATTACAAAATGCTTTCATGTGATCATATTATTTTGCTGAGTTTAGCTTAGAGAGGCCAGGCCCATAATAATGATTTTTATACCGTTTATCAACCATTTGCAGGTTACATAAATATTTTTAGATTCTAAGAATACTTTTTGTTGGTGATAATAATGATTTTACTGATACAAGTCTTACTATTAGGTTGGTGCAAAAATAATGACGTAATAATGTCGTTTTTTGACGTATTTTTTAACGTCAAAGAACGACATTATTACGTCATTATTTTTGCACCAACCTAATAATTAACTGGACGAAGAAGTAGTAAATTCATACCTTTCCCAGGGGTATTTGCAAGTAAGTGAATATAACGAACCCAACTGGAATTGGAACTCGGCTCACCGATTAACAATTCCGAGTCATTATCCATTACACCACCCGCACATCGCACATCCAAACTTACAGCATCTGGTATTCCCTAGCAGTCACCTACCTCGGTACTAACCAGGCTTGACGATCCTTCACTTCAGTGATTATACGTGAACCGGTATTTCCGTGATATGGGGCCGTAAGCCTATAATAATGAGGTACCTAGTGAGAATGAAACTCTGTTTTCAGATGGTTCATGAAACTATCTTACTAGACATTACGTTACGGCAATATACTAAGTTATTTTCTTGACTGACGTTAGTCTGATAATGGGCCACATAAAGAATGCAGAACGTAACATTCTGTGATTGAAAAGAGAGAGTGTGGGGATTTGTCCTTTCATTTTAGACTACCTTATGTAACACCACCTAGCGAGCGTTACGAAAAATCCAGACAAGGTGGGGTAATTCCACAAAATAAATTATTGCCTTGTTAAATTTCGTGTTACGATTTTTTATTAATTTCAGATTAAAATATTCGTAGGAAAGTCAAAAATTATCAGCACTTTCGACATAACATATCTTTAAATTTGCCTCATGCGTGCTTATAGTTGGTAGTATTGTGGTCACGTGATCGAAGTTTGAGCTTGATCGCGCCAGCTTTCTTCTTGTTGTTACAGTGTAAACATGGCCGCTCCGCTAGTAGTGTGCACCAAGGAAGAACGAAGAGCAGTGATCCGATTTCTCTGGTCGGAAGCTAAAACTTCTCGGAGGCTTTTAACACAATACGGCGACGGTGCAATACCACATAGAAGTGTGTGTGAGTAGAACGAGAAGTTTAAAAGTGGCCGGAGAAGCGTGACGCACGAAAAAGGAGCAGGCATCCTGTCAACCTCCATCACTGTCAAGAAGACATAGAGAGATGGTAATGGCGAACCAGCGAGTTATCATCGATGAAGTAGCAAGTTCTCTGCAGATCCGGATCACTGCATTGCATTAGTTTTAATTGAGTTAGTTTTTAGAATGTTGCAAATATTAAATTATTCTTGTAAATAAACAATCTAATAAATAAATAGTGCTTAATATTTTTGTTGTAAATTCTCAAGAACAAAAAACATATATAAATTCACTTTCATTATATGTTTAGGTTTTATTACAATTGTAATCACCGCTTTTTAAAACAATAAACATTGCCGAAGAGTTAGTTAAAATAATAGCGTTGTCATGGGAAAACGTGTTCTTTTGACACTCCTTTTTAGAAGGCACGAAGGTCCATGTTTGCCAAAAAAATTAATATATATATGTTATTAATACATAATTTTTAGTTTTTCAAGTCTTTATACATAAGTGCTTTGGTTTCGTTAGAACATGTTTCTTTTGATATTTGTCCTTCGAAATTTGAGACAATATCCTCACCCATGTTTTCAAACGTGTCTGTCTTGTTGAAGGTGAAGTTATACTTTATCCTTGAGAAGCTTTTTGGCAAAGTCCTCAAAATGTCAAAATAAATATGTCAAGAAGCACCGCTGGCTGTTACAAGAAACCAGTTCCATGAAAGGTGGTGTCAAATCTTGTTATCAGATAAAGAACAACGCGAATATATTTGTTCACCTGTAAGCCTCTTCAAAGAATGCATCTTGTTAAAGTACATCGACCTTCAAATTCTCTGTTTACCCTCCACTTTTTCTCTCTCTCCTTTTCTCTCTGTCACAAACACACACGTGCGCATGCATACACGCACACACACACACACAGAGAGATGATAATGGCAATGATAATATTAGCCGTTTCCTTATAAGGAAACGTACGGCATTCATTGACTGAGAAGTTAATGCTACTGCTGATTGAAATTTAGATAGATAGATAGATAGATAGATAGATAGATAGATAGATAGAAGGTGGACATAGGGATCAACACCACATAGTTAATGCTAATGCTCGCGTTTTAATGTGATTACAGACAATTAAAATACATTAATAAGGCCATTTTAAGTGCACTTAAATTACGTTAACTTTTCAGGAATACAGCCAGACGCCGTTTTCAAATTTTTCACTTCTTCCTTACTCTCTCTCCCACTCGCTTACAAACACACACACGCATGCATATATATATATATATATATATATATATATATATATATATATATATATAAGAAATGGACAAAGTCTGACAATTTATTTATTAAAAGACATTTTTATGTTTAACGTTCTTTTTTTTAGATACAAGTATTACAGTAAATGCTCTGTTTATAATAAACAGTATTAAATAACATTTACCGGCCTGAATGTCCGAGAAATTTTCATAGAAAATATTCGTCCTTTGACAGGATTCGGACCTGCATCCTATCCTATAATAGAGCACTTACTTAAATACTTGTATCTATAAAAAAAGAACGTTAAACATAAAAATGTCTTTAAATATATATATATATATATATATATATATATATATATATATATATATATATATATATATATGTACAATGAAATGAAGTCCGGCAATTATTTATAATATTTTCTGTTTATACGTTATTTTGAAATAACGTATAAACAGAAAATATATTAAACAGATAAAATTTATTTAAGTAAATGCTATGTTTTTAATTAATTTACCGGCCTGAATGTTCGAGAAATTTCGTAGAAAATATGTCTTCGTCGATAGGAAACCGCCATTTTTATCTGACGTGCTATAGCATTAAAGAGTACTTTGGACTTTGCTAACCAGACGCTTCCCTGTAGCTAAATGGTATAGCACGTCAGACCCAATGATGGTTTCTGCATAGGAATATAGGTTTGATTCTTGTTGGAGCACGCATATTTTCTACGTAATTATTCGAGCATATATGCCGGTAATTGTACTTAATACTGTTTAATTAAAAATAGAGCACTTACTTAAGTAACTGTATCTATAAAAATAAGATATAAACAGAAAATTCGTTTACATTTATGAACACTATGAACCTATGAATGAGCACTGCCTGATGACTGTCGGTTGCAATGTGTGCATTGAAGTGTGAAGCTCAATATGCAGTTCTGGTCCATATACATATATATATATATATATATATATATATATATATATATATATATATATATATATATATATTTATAATATATATATAAATATTAAAATACCGGTCACTATATAATATATATGTACACTTGAATGCGTAATTAATTCTAATTTCTATTTTCCCATCATTACACTATATTAATTTTATCTTATAATTTGTCCCCTGTTCTGAAATAAAAATATTTTTTGTACGAAAAATAAGAATCTACGTACATCAAATCGTCTTTTAATTAATTGGCAGCAGAAGAGATATCGTTGAATTTTTAAAAGCTAAGCTTAAACATTAAATCAATACGTAAATGCAACGATCAATTTTGAGTTTTTCTGTATCGCATCTACTTCTTCCTAGCTTTTGTGATGATGGCCAAACCACAGGAGCTAGCTTAAATACCGCCTGATTTATTTGTTTAATAAATTATATTCTCGTTAAATTCAGTGTTTCAGTTTTACATCGTTATAATCAAAACATAGAAGAAAGGCAGTTTTGACTCATCGATACGTATTTTTTTTAATCATTTCACTATAAGCAAGGCAATCAAGCAATTAAAACGAAAAGAGACTACTGGGTGTTAGATAATAATAAGAAAAAAAAACATTATTAAGAACAATACAAAAGCAAGAATTAAGACGACAGAAGATAACGACTGATATTGAATTTAAATTTTTGAAGATAAATTTGAGTGAAATGCAAAAGCCGGAACGGATTTCCACAGGCGAAAAGTGCAAGAAAAGAAATTGTTAGCATAGAAATTACGGTTGGATGTAAATGTTTCAACTGTAAAATGATGAGACCTTGTTACTAATCTAGCATTGCGCTTAAATTCATAAAGTCTAGGTACCATAGAGGAAAGTTCATCAGAGCAATTACCATGAAACTATTTATTGAAATAAAGGTACAGGGACGCTACGTTACGGCGGTGAAAAAGTGACTGAAGCCGAGATGCCAGATTAGGACCAATAACGTTGCAGATTCTTCTTTGGGTTATATCGAAAATCTTAAAATATATAGTAGGATCACTAGACAAGATATGGCAGCAAAATTCAAAGCATTGACGAATAATATACTTATAAATTTGTAAGATATATCTAGCGAGAAAAATTGTCTAGCACGACTCAGTCAACCAACTTTCCTAGCGATTGATTCAATATAATCTTTATACTTCATGTCAGCGGAAAACGTTAATCCGAGAAGACACATAAAGTCACTCTCGTATGGATTAACATCAGCCATGCATTTATTTTTGCTCAATTCTGTTTCAATTCATCAATTTGTATTAAATTAATTACTAAGCTTATGTTTTCACATATGCTAACCTAATCATTCCCGTTATACACTGATAATCACAAGCATAAAAATAATTAAATTCTGATCACTTGTATATACAGATTCATGTTTTTTTTTTTCAGGACTACTTTAGACTGTTGCATTAATCAGTGGACATTCCTGATTAGAGGTCTGCTTGTGATACACAGAAAGCGTTAAAGTGTCAAAATCCGAGATCGACAACCTCGATATGGATATCATTATAATATTCTAGGTAAACGTATCAGCATATTTATTGTATAGAATTTGCTATTTTCTATGATTATATACCATCGCATAATAGAAAGAAAGAAAGAAAGAAACAGTGTTAACATGGAAATCAATACTGATGTGTGATGGTTTGATGATCGTTTTAGGTGTTAAACTACCAGTCACTATGCATTGCTGAATTCTATGTCCACACCGTTTATATCTGCATACTCTTCTCTCATAAATATAGCAAATTTTTAACAATTATTCGGATCATGCTGATTCAAATAACAAAGCACGTAAAGCACATTTTAGATGTTATACTCACAACGTTTCGGCTGCTATACACTCTTCCGGTGTCTTTCGATGTACTCGATAATCATCTAATGAAGAAGGCAATAGGGTACACCGGCTGAAACGTTGTGAATATAACATCCAAGAAGAAAGTGTTGCTTAGAATGATAAATCATATAATAATGTATGTGTATGTGTGTGTGTGTGTGTGTGTGTGTGCTGAAAGCTTCTCGATCATACTAAGAAAGTGCCCCCCCACCCCAAATAATATGATGTTGAGTCCTTTCGGTCATATTTTGAGGAAGTTGGACG